CTCCTGCTTGGGAGTTTTTTAAAAAAATGATATATATTATTTTTTTCCAAAAAAAATAATAATAATAATTTGGGGTGTGTTTGTGGCTCCGATCTGGGGCTCCGGCTGCTCCAGAGGAGGCGGCTCTGTCTATGTGGACGGAGGAGGAGGAGGAGGAGGAGGAGAGAGAAAGAAAGATGCTCGCCTGGCTCTGGCTCTCTCTCTCTCTCTCTCAGCTCCCCAGCCCTGAGCGATGAACACATCCGGAAGTGGAAGGGAACCCTTTTTAACTCATTCTCTGCCTGCCTCCTCCGATTGGAAGGCGGCGGAGACGGCTGGCCGGGGGTCCTTCCCACTGGAAGGGAGACGGCGGCCTTCCCACCTGGCCCTCCCTCGGCCTCCCAGTCCTCTGGCACCACAGCTTCCAAGGTAGGGCCTGGTCTAGGGTCGGATCCCTCTGGCTTCCTCTAGGGTCGGATCCCACTGGCTTCGTCCCTCTGGCTTCCTCAGTCTCGGCCGGGCTCGGGGAGGGGGGGTTGGGTTCAGGATCAAGATGGGCCACCCTGTCCCTCTGTCCGTAGCTGCGGAAAAGAGCCAGAGTCCAGTGGTGCCTGAAGGACTTGGTGCTTGGGGGGGTGTGTCAGTAGTGGGAGGGCTCCTAGTGTCCTGGCCCCACTGCTGGACCTCCTGAGGGCACCTGGTGATTTTGGCCACGGTGTGACACAGAGGGTTGGACTGGATGGGCCATTGGCCTGATCCAACACTGGCTTCTCTTATGTTCTTATGTCTGGGGCAAGGGATGCTCTGTCTTCTTGGGGCTTGGGGGGCCACAGTGGGAGGGCTTCTAATGTCCTGGCCCCACTGCTGGACCTCCTGAGGGCACCTGGTATTTTTGGCCACTGTGTGACACAGAGTGTTGGACTGGATGGGCAATTGGCCTGAACCAACATGGCTTCTCTTATGTTCTTATGTCTGGGGCGGTGATGCTCTGTGTTCTTGGGGGGGCAAGAGTGTGAGGCCTTCTGGGAGGGCTTCTAATGTCCTGGCCGCACTGGTGGACCTCCTGACGGCACCTGGTATTTCTGGCCACTGTGTGACACAGAGTGTTGGACTGGATGGGCCACTGGCCTGATCCAAGTGATGCTCTGTCTTCTTGGTGCTTGGGGGGGGGGACAGTGGGAGGGCTTCTAATGTCCTGGCCCCACTGGTGGACTTCCTGACGGCACCTGGTATTTTTGGCCACTGTACTTTTTAAACTCTGCGTCTTCGGTGGGACGCCACAGGCTGGCCACGGGTGCGCTACGCTTCCCAGATGTTGCAGTGTGATCGCGCCCCGAAAATCCACCCGACACTCGTGCCTTTCGCGTGGCAAATTCTCCATGTGACCGGGGCCTCTGTTGAACTTTGTGTCCAATGGCACCTTTAAGGGCCACAATGTGTATGTGCTTCCATGTGCTTTCATGGGCACGCACATTTCCTCTGATAATGTCTGAAGACGTGTGCATGCACATGAAAACTCATATCTTGAATAAAACTGTGTTGGTCCTAAAGGTGCCCCCTGGACACAAACTCTGTTCTTTTTCTTCAGACCAACACGGCGGCCCGCCTGCATCTGTCGGACTTTGCTGGTCTTCAAGGTGCCCCTGAACTCAAAGCTCTGTGCCCACATCTGTTAACTCTTGTAATTGTGTGCTAATTTACTGCCGTTCGCAGATCTTAACAGCCCCCTTAATCCAATCTCAGCTATAATCACCCAGTTACTTAGGCATCTTGGCTCTAATTAGCTCTTCCTGGCAACTAACCCCCGTTTCCTATAGGTAATGGTTGAGGAAATTCTGTTTCACTGTATCTGACGAAGTGTACAGTAAAGGTAAAGGTTCCCTTGCTCGAAAGCCCCTTCTCTCACGTTTTAAACCCTTGGCTAATTATCTTACATATGCCGAGGAATGTTTGATGAAGTTCTTATTGGCCGATACTTATGATTCTGTCTCACGCAATGTTGCTAAATATTGTTATTTGGTAATTTAAAAGCGTAGAATGTACTGTAACTCGAGCCATTAATGACAGAATTGACCGGTTTCGTATTTTAGTATTTAAGGCGGCAAGGATTCTATGTCGTAGACTCGATGTTGTACTATTTTGGTTTATTTTGCTGGTCTTATGACTGTTCTTAATAAATTTGATTTGACTTGCTCGAAAGCCAGTCGAATCAGACTCTAGGGTTGCGGTGCTCATCTCCGTTTCCAAGCCGAAGAGGCAGCGCTGTCCGAAGACGTTTCCGTGGTCATGTGGCCGGCATGACTCAACGCCAAGGCTCACGGAACGCTGTTCCCTTCTCACCGAATTCTCACCTATTTATCTACTTGCAATTTCTTGCTTTCGAACTGCCCGGTTGGCAGGAGCTGGAACTAGAGATGGGAGCTCACTCCATCATGCGGCACACTCCGGTCTCGAACTGCTGAACTACCAACCTTCCAGTGTCTTAACCACTTGAGCCACCGCAGCACACAAAAGTTTGTACCCAGAATGAAACTTGGTTGGTCTTAAAGGTGCTCCTGGACTCAAACTTGGTTCTGTTGTTTCAGACCAGCACGGCGACCCCCCCGGAATCCGCCCTAAATTGTATTAGTCTTTATGGTGCTACTGTCGAAGTGAGCAGTGGCTCACAAAAGCTCACACCCTGCCACAAATATTGTTAGTCCTTTAGGGGCTACTGAACTGTTGCTCTTTTCTCCTGCTACAGACAGACTGACACGGCTACCCAACCTGAAGAAGCGAGCGGTGACTCACAAAAGCTCCAAAGTAAAGGTAAAGGTTTCCCTTGCTTGAAAGCTAGTCACATCCGACTCTAGGGGGAGGTGCTCATCTCCATTTCCAAGCCGAAGAGCCAGCGCTGTCTGAAGATGTTTCCGTGGTAATGTGGCCAGCATGACTAAACACCGAGGCACACGGAACGCTGTTACCTTCCCACTGAAGCTTCCTACTATTTATCTACTTGCTTTCAAACTGCTAGGTTGGCAGGAGCTGGGGCCAGAGATGGGTCTCGAACTGCCAAACTACACGGCAGTTCGAACTACTGCTGAACTACACGCGGCATTTGGTATCTGCCGAACGACACGTGGCATTCGGATCTCTGCCGAACGACACGCGGCATTCGGG